TCGCTCTTTGCAGCGCTCGCTTTTCCCCGTGAGCCCTGCGGTTCCCTGCCGGACCCGCGGGTCTGATTCCTTCCTATTTAAACTCCCTGGAAAACGCTCCGGTTTGAGGGCTTCCCATCGGTGCCGGAGGAGTGATGTGCGGGTCGGGAGGAGCTGGGAGGCAACGGGCTGGGGAAGAACGGAGCGTGGTCACAGGGGTGGCTGCCGGAGGCCGACGGCCACCGGGGCTGCAGTGGTGTCTGCAATGGAGCATCTCTGCAGCCACAGGTGGGACGTCAGGTCTGCAGCTATGGGGATGGAGGGAGGGAAGATGGGAGGAAGGAGGGTAGGAAGGGAGGAGAAAAGAGAGGAAGAAGGAAAAGGTGAAGGGTGGGAGGAAGGAAGGAAGAGAGGGAGGAAAAGAAGGAAATGAGGAAGGGAAGATGAGGGGGAGGAAGAAGGGAGGGAGGAAAAGAAAAGAAAGGAGGAAGGAAGAGAGGAAGGGTGGGAGGAAAAAAGGAAGGAAAGGAGGAAAGAGGGAAGGAAAGAAGTAAGGGAGGAGGAGAGGAAGGAAGGAAGAGAGGAGAAAGAAAGAAGGGGGAAAGACGGGAAGAAGGAAGAAAGGAAGGAGTGGAGGAAGGGAAGGAGGAAGAAAGGAAAGGAGGGAAAAAGGAAGGGAGGAAGGAAAGAAGGAAGGCAGGCAGGAAGGAAGCTCTCCAGTTTGCTTTCACCACGGCGCTGCTCAGCCCACTGCCCCCGAGAAACGGCTGGGTGCTGTTTTGCTATTTTGAGTCGAGCTGGTTGGAATTCCTGACAAATTGCTATTCTCTCCAAATCCACCGCCACCAGTTCCAACTGCGAGCAGAAAAAGTGTGATTGATTTTTGTTGTCCTTTCTTTCTTTCTTTTTTGGAAAATGAAACGTTTTGTGGGAAAGGGCAGTTCTGGATACATTTCTGAATGTGAAAAAAAAAAAATTAGTGCTAATTATCGATATGCCTCCTGATACATTTCAAAATGAAAAGAAGAAGAAACAACCCAAAAAGCCATCTGGCTCGAAACGGCTTTTTGTTTTGCAATTCAAGCATGGACAGCTCCCAAATAAATGCATTTAAAAATGGCAAAACCAAACCCAAATTTCATAAGCTGAAGCCAATTTGTAAAGTAAATAAATAAATATATTGAAAAATTTCGGAGGGTGAGTTTCACTTTACAGCAAGCAAAGTTAGAACCATCCCTGCAACGGGGCGGCCACGAAGGGCCCATGTTCTGAATGCTGGGGAGGTGGGAACCACTCAGCACCATTTCCAGTGCCCCGAGCTGAGCTGCAGCCCAACCCTACGGACATCCAACACTGTGTGTGCAAGGAACTGTGACAGAATCCTTGAGGAATGACCCAGATGGAGCCTGTGGGCCCTGAGCTGCTGGGATCCAGGGCACAGGGCAGGAGGATTTAAAGTGAGACGGGAGGTTTGGGTTGGATATGAGGAGGAAGTTTTTCACTCAGAGGGCAGTGAGGCACTGGCACAGGTTGCCCAAGGAGGCTGTGGATGCCCCATCCCTGCAGGCATTCAAGGCCAGGCTGGATGTGGCTCTGGGCAGCCTGGGCTGCTGGTTGGCGACCTGCACACAGCAGGGAACTGGATGAGCATCGTGGGCCTTTGCAACCCAGGCCATTCTATGATTCTAAATATACTTGGAATAATGATTTATGCTCCCACGGATGGAAATTCATAGGGCAGCTCAAAAAAAAACCAAAAAAAAACCACAAAAAACAAAAAACCAAACCTATAAACAAAATTGCTGGACATGTTGCATAGATTTTCACAGCCGTTTTCTCCGGATCATTTTTCTGTTTCAAATTTGTCTCTTAATTTCTAGGGGTGCTCCTTCCTGGGGTGGTGGCCACGGATCGGATCGTGCTCCAGCGTGAGCTGAGGACGGGCATCCGAGGATGCTGAGAGGGCAGCGGGGAACAGGGCTGCCGTGGGTGGGATGGAGGATGAGAGATATGGGACGTGGGATGCAGAACGTGGGATGAAGGATAGGGGATGCGGGATGAGGGTGCAGACAGGCAGCCGTGCAGAGCTCCGGGCCGCTCCAACGTGGCAGCACCACCCTGGCCCTGGCTCACAGCAGCACAGATCGGGGTCCTCAGTTCTTTGCAGAGGAGCCGTCTCCCGGCATCGCCCGCAGCCCTGAGCGGCAGTGAATGAACTGCCCTGACATCTCCTATTGAAGCGAAGCAAAATGTGTTGAACAAAAACCATTTCAAGATGTTTTCAGAGTGTTGCCAAGTTACTCAACATGTTCTGCTTTAGTTGTCAGATGCTTTCAAAGCGATTTCCCTAACTCAGAGCACGAATGGTGAGGGCTCTCCCTGGGAATCTTTTGCCTGGGGCTACCATGGATCTGTATTTTCATAAGAAAAAGGCTCAACTAATGATTAATCTTCACCAGAGGAAGCGGGGCCTTTCTTTGGGATTTTTCTTCAGTTATTTTTAATTAATTTGTACAACTGGCAGCGACATTAAAGCGCGGTGCAGAGGGCTGGCGCAGCAGACGGGCCGTGGCCGCATCCCTGCAGCACCATCCGACCCCCAGCACCGGGGGGAGAAACCAGATCGGTGAGTGGAAGGAAAGGAGGAGCTCCGTGGGCTGAGTTCCTGCATGGGCTGCGTGGGGCTGCGCTCCCCCGGGGATGCTCTGAAAGGGGAACCGTGGGGTTATCAGCTGAGCCTGCACCCGGTCTGCTTTCTGCTTCTCTCTTCTAGCCAAGGCTGATGCGGAGGGTTATCGGGGTTGCAGTGTCAGGGCAGAGGGAAGATTTTTATCTGCTGGCCCTACAGTGTCAGACTGCGCCACGCACCGCTCCCAGCTGCTCCGTCCCGCTCCTCAAACAGCCACGTCTGGATTTGTTTAACGCCATTGGCAAAGCGTTGAATACAGCATATGGTGCCCGAAAACCACAGAACTTATTGACAGCAGCCCAGACTTGCTAAATAAAAGAACTCCTTCCAACAGCCCCGCTCTGTGAAGACTCAGCACTTTCCTCAGTCACACTAGGTAATGCCACGGCCCCTCACAGCAGCACCCTGAGCTGGCTGCTCCCTGCCTGGGATCCCCATCCCCGCACCCAAATGCAGCATCCCCAAGCTGTCCCCGCTGCTGTCACTCTGTGTAGCCGTGGGGCAGAGGCCCAGCACCCCCAGCAGGCTGCAGGCAGAGAAAGAGCAGAGCTGAGTCAGGGCCGCACGCTGACGCACCGCGCGGGGCCACGCTTTCTCCCAGATTGGACACAGCCTATCTTGGGGAGAGGCGCCTGGAATCAGCTTCACTCTTGGCAGTACATGAAGAATCTCATTTCCTTAAGAAGGAAAGGGACGCGGCTGCTCTCCTTCCTTCGCTCTTGCTGAGTGCCTTCGCTTTTCGCCACAACGCCGCGGTGCCGCAGCGAACGGAGCGGCCCCACTCCTGTTTGCTGAGCTGCTGCATATGTGAGTTCCCAGCTTGGTGTAAACCAGACTGCAAATACAGGGATGCTGCCGTGAATATTCAAACAAGAATCTCCCTGCCTATCCATCCTGGGTGCCATCCGTAATAGAATCTGCTTGGGAAACGCTCTGCACCTCCCACAAGCGTGAGCTTTCCTGCCCGACAGCCCTGCACATCAAGTCCATGGGCTCTGCATCCTCAGGACTTTGGTAACAGGTAACTGGTAGTGTGTAAACATCTCCCCAGAGCTCTGAGGTTCGAGTCGAAGCACAAGTCACACATTCAGCTGCTTTTCAGAGCCTCTTTGGTCTGTGAATGGGCTGGAAACATCGGGAGCAGCCTTTCCTGCAAGGTTCCTGGTGCTGCCCTCCTCCAGATCAGAAGCAGCACTGTGCATGGGGCTTTGCTTCACCTCGCCAGACCAGGAACCAGAAATGCTCACCGCCCTGAACCTCCCCACTGCTCCACAGGGCCCTGGCACAGGTCTGGGCACAGCAGGACAATCCTCATGCCTTCACCAGGGCCACCCTGACCCCACCCTGAGCTGACCTGAAGGGGCAGGGATGGAAGCAGCAGGTGTGCACCCGCGCTGTGACCGCAGCACCCTGCAGCAGTCTGCAGCCTGCTTCCCTACCTCCTCCATGCTGCCTGCAGAGCCCTGTGGGCGGATGGAGAATTTGGGAGCTTCGTGGCAGGGAGGGACCTGGTGTCTGTTTGGGGCCCAGAAATGCTGAACTCAGGTATAAAAAGTCTGCATTGACTGAGGCTGCACCTTGCCTGAGCGAGCGCCGCTGCCCCGGGTGGGCTCCTCAATGTTCTCTGATCTGGGGGCAACTATTGATAAAAAGCATTTGGGAGAACTCCCTTCTCCAGCTGGGCCTTATTAGCGCCTCTGCTCTGTGTGGGAGACCATCCCTACCAGCCAGATTTCTCCAGCCCTTCACCCAGTCCTTCTGCCATCCAGTAGATGATTTGTGGCCGCGAAGCATGGAAGGATGCCCTCTGAAGCCTTTCATCCAATTGTTACCAGCCTTGATCCCACTGCAAGCTGAAGACACCCTCAGCTTCACCACGTCTCCCTAACGCCTTCCCGAGAGCAGCCTCTCCCATGGGGAAAGCAAGCAAGAGATGGTAAATGGAACCATCATGTTGCAAAGCAGGGAGCGCCGGGCCGAGCGACACCAATCCCCCCAGCACCACAGCGCAGCATCCTCCTGCCCCCCCGACCCCACCAGCACCATAGGGCAGCATCCTCCAGCCCCGCCAGCACCACCAGCAGCAGAAGGAGCCCGGCCAGGCCGTGTAGGGACTGCCTTGCCTTGTTGGGTTTTCCCCAGGGACGGGAAGAGGAGGGTTGCGGAGAGATGCTGTCTCCATACCCTCCCACCCATTTGGGACCACGGGGTGCTGGGCTTTATAGACAGAAGAGAAACGGGGGTTAGGCTGATTTCCACGCTCCTGGCACATAGCTGGTGGGTACCCAAGGCACATGTGGTACCCATGGGGCCACCTCCCGAGGGGTCCCACCCCCTCCGCTCCCCATCCCGCCCCACGCCGAGCCACCTGGCTGCTGCTGACTGAACCCTTCTCACCGCCGAGTCCCGCAGCCCTGTGCGCATTAGAGACTCTTCATCACGGGGATGCCCCGCGGCGAGCAGCTCTTGGGGGTAATGTGTGGGGGTGTGTCTGTGTGCGTCACCCCCGATCCCGTGCCTCCCATTGGAGGAATAGCATGTGCCCCCTTTCGTGGAAAAAGATCTGGCGTTTCCTCTCGGAGGTCGGCTCTGCCTTCCGCATCACTCGTCCCGCGCCACGCTCTCATCCAAGGAGGGCAGGGTCTCTGGGCCGAGCCCCCCGCCGCCGCCGTGCACGCTCGAGAAAGACACCATGGTGTGGAGGAGCATCAGAACCAGCACGCACAGCCGGATCCTGCTGCTGCCCAGGCGAGACCCTGCGGAGACCGGCAGCAAGGACGGGGAGTGGTGGTACTGGTGGTGGTGGTAGAGATGGTAGTGGTTCTGCCGCTGGTGATGGAGGTGGGGGTCGTGGCGGTGGTAATGGAGCGACTCTGACGCCGTGGATTTGGGGGATGTGTCGGAGCTGCTGTCCGGGGGGTGGTCGCAGGAGTCCCATTGCACCTCGCAGCACTTGGCCTCCTCCTCGGGCAGCTGGCTCTCCAGCAGCCCTGCGGGAAGACCGGGGTCAGTGAGGTGGCACGGAGGGGACCCAGCCCAGGAACCTCCTCCTCCCTCCCTCCCATAGAGACTTCAAGACCATAAAGCTCTACGGGCACCCCTGTGAGGTGCACCTCCATCCCTCGCAGCCCCGCTGTTCTTACCCGTGCAGATGAAGCCAGGCAAGCCTCCATAGATCAGCTCGTCGTTGTCCGGTAACACAAACGGGCACCTGGTCTGCACCTCCAGGCAGTATTGCTTGCATGGGATCCGGTGTCGGCACTGTTGTTGCGTCACGTTGAAATACTCGGAGCACAGCCAGGCCTTGTAGACAGCCTAGAGAAAGTCACCAAGAAGGACACTTCACTCCCCAGCACCCGGCAGCCCCAGAGATGCAGAGAGCTGGGTTAGCAGGAAGAGGGCCCCAATCTCACTTGGAAGTTCTTGTCGGCACGTCTGGGCTGCTTACTGAGCTAACCACCAACTAAAGGAGAACTTGAGAGGATGCAGAGCTCATCTAATGAAATAAAAATCACCACACAAGTGAACCAACCACACGGCACCAGCCACGGATGGGCAGGGATGTGCCGAGCTGCTGGTGCCCTCCCCGTGGAGCCGCCCATCTTTTGGGCATCTCCGAGTTCTCTGCCTGCTGGAAAAGCCACTCACAGACCGTGCCCACCTCCCCACCTCAGTGCCTGCTGTAGCTGCAGAGACGTGGGGCCGGGCACAGCCCTATGGCCACAGTGCAGAGCTCAGCCCCACATCTCCCAGGCACTGGGCACGGGGGGGAAGAGCCCATCTGCGCTGGAGAAGAGCTCTGAGCAGTGAGGTTCCTCAGGCTGCACCTCCCCAGCATTTCCAGCTCATCCACAAACGTATCATTTAGCAACAAAATGAAGGTCACATTAATGACCACATCCAACTTCCTTTGAAACCAACTAGAAGGGCTCCCCGCCATTCAAAGGGAATGAATCTCCCTCCTGAGTGTGCTGGGATAAACCCCATGCCCCTCCTTCCAGCTGGATTTTTATTTTCTGGAGGCTTTAAAAACATCTCTTCTTTGTTTCCCCATGTTTTCCATAGATCCTTATCATTGTCTGTTTGGACCATAGTAATGTCTCAGGATTAATGCTGGTTGGGAAATTCTTGGCAAGTTCTTTCTATTGCTTTTCACCCCCCTCTCCCCCCCCCCCTTTTTTTTTTTCCTGGAAAATGCCAATTCATGAAAACTAGAATTTTCATGGAAGCGTGCTTTGCTGAAACTTTCATCAGAACAAATTTACTGGGGGCCAGGACGCAATACATGGAGCAGGCAATAGCCCTGTGGCCAGGGCTTCAGCTGGGAAGTGGAGCTCCAGCTGCAGCCCTGCTTTTTCTCTCTGGCCCTCTGGATGTTAATTATTTAGACAAAGTGGAACAGCTCCAGAGGAGGGACTGGCTGTAATCAGCCCACGAGGACACGGCCAGGAGGGAGAGCTCAGAGCTCTGCTTCTGGATCTGCATCTGCCTGAGCTCATTCTCTGGGGCCGAGGAGGAGGGGAGATGGGCAGTGAGCCCGTCCCCAACCCCACCGCCTCCTCCTTCTCCTGATCCTCCTTCTCCATGGCTCAGACATGGACTTAAAGGGCTGCAGACTGGGTTCTGTAAGGCTGCAGATAAGCTATTATAGGACTGCAGGTAAGGATAACCAGACTCAGGGCTGGCACTGGGCAGCAGGGAGCCGGGAGGACGAGGCCCAGGGAAGCACATCGCACTGAGCTGCCCCGCGGTGCTCAGCAGGCACGTGGGTTCTGCTCAGAGAAAGGAGTGCCCAGCACTGCTTCAGTGCGACCTCGGCGAGACACAGCAGACCGTTAAGCATTTCGGCAGGTAACGATATGTTAAATGAGGCAGGAAGGAGAACGGGAGAAAGCATCCACTGGCCAGACAGGACAGGACGAGACAGATGATCCGTAAGGTCCAATCTAAGCCACCCTACGACCCTGCAGCTCGGCAAGTCCCCACTTCTGCCCCACAGCCTTGACGTGTGGGTGCAGGCGGGCACGCAGTCCGCATCAGATGCGCGATTCCGGCGCTCCGTCCCGCCGACGGCTCGGCGCCGTGCAGCCCGGCCGGGCGCGTTCCCCTTTTCCCCGTTAGGGGGCACGGGCGGCACGCACTGCGCTCCGCGGGCACGGAGCGGGCGAGTCCGGGGAACCGGGGGCAGCGGGCATCGGTCGGGCTGTCAGAGCAACAGGAAGAAAAGGCAGCGAGAGCAGCAGCCTTATGAAATGCATCCCCTGCCACAGAACCGTCCCAGTCAAAGCGTTTCGGTCTGTTAGGCGCTTGGGACTTGATTTCTGACCTTCTAAAATAAACTCGTTATTGCGGCTGTTCTCTGAGGTAGGGGCTTGGGCTGCACGTATAGGAGGTGCTGCTCCTTCCCTGCTGAGGATGAGCCACCCAGGTGGGCTGGGGAGCAGCTGAGGGATGTGTGATGCCTGTGGGGACGCACGTGGGGCCGGCCAGGCGCTCAGTGCCCCACACTACATCCAGCCAGGCTGAGTGCTGGGCAGCTGCAGGGCTTGGTGCCTGACAGCCAGCATAGATCAAATGCTCCAAATGGCTGAAGTTGGGTGGGACGAGTTCTCCTAAAAGCCACAGCCTTTCTGGGGTTACAAACAGGATGCGCTGACTGCACCATGAGCAGCCGAGCTGCACATAGAGTGTGTTAGTGCATGATGTATGAATATATGGATGTTACAATTAAGAAATGTACAAGAAAGTCATGCTAAACATGTTATCATACTAAAGAAGAATGGATGGAAAGCTTACCCATGTCCTGAGCTCACTGAGAAGACTCCAAGAGGAGCAATCTCCAGCAGAGATCCTTCCCCACTGGCAGTCAGCTCTTAAATGGGGTCCAGGAGAGGTGCAGCCAGGCTCCACCCCTTCCAGTAGCACAGATTGCCTTCACCTGTGCTCCCAGGGCTGACTCATGGCTCACCTCAGGTGCTCAATCCGAGGTTCAGGCCATGATTCAGCAGTTCCCATACTGTTAGGTAAAGCTCATGAGATGTCTCAGGGCAAAAGAAGGTGGTGAGGCACTGTTCACAGGTTGCCCAAGGAGGCTGTGGATGCCCCATCCCTGCAGGCATTCGAGGCCAGGCTGGATGTGGCAACCTCCTCTGCTGGTTGTTGACCCTGCACACAGTGGGGGGTTGGAATCAGAATGGTCACTGTGGTCCTTTTCATCCCAGGCCATTCTATGACTGTATGATTCTATGAAAAGTGAGCTTGGAAGACAGCAGATAAAGCCTGAGACGCCAGGACTAAAAGCACAGATCCGCTGCCAGACAACTCACCACTTGCTTTTTGTGAGCGATCTTTTGGGCTTTTCCCCTGAAGCCAGCCTGCCAACAACACAGCACAGAAAGCCACTGAAGCCTCTCTTGCACACTCCCTTCCACGCTCCATGGTTACAAATAACAAACAGCAAATAGGTGACGAGCACAGCTCATATCCAGCACGCTGCGTTACGCTGAGATCCTGCTGCAGCGTTCGCCAGCCGTGCACACAGCAGCAAACCATCGCCTCCACCCCCATATGGTGCAGGAACAGGAAAGGGACCAAACTGCACATGCAGTGCACGGCCCACACGCGGCCTGCTCTGCTCTGGGAGGACCACATCACCCTGCTGCCATCCCCTGGGGGGTCCCCACTGCTCCCATGGCATTTAGCCCCACTGCTGAGGAGGAGCTGCTCCTGCTGCAGGCAGTTATCTCGATGCCTGCAAGTTCTCCTCGCTACTTGACCTACATTTTCCCATCCAAAAGTTCATTCCCTTCAATCATCCCATAAATCATCCCTCTCCCTGCTCTGTGTTTACACATTTCTAATATTTGCAGATGTATCACGCTCCCCGTTTAGTCATAACTTAGGCGAGCCTGACTGATTTACTGTCACATTTCTTCCCTCCCTTTCATCATCCGTGTCTCTTTCCTGTACTGCTGCTCAGAAGCAGTGACCACCCCAGCTGTGAGCAGGCAGGACCCACCGACCACACTGCCCCCTAAGTAGCACTGCCCCAGCCATGACCATGCTAGGAGAGAAGGAAAAGCAGCTCCACTCAAACCCATGGTCTCCTCCAGACCATCCTCCAGCCTCCACATAGCCACGAGTCACCCAGGGGCACACCGGTGGGCTGAGGAGAGCTGAGGGATGTGTGAGGTCCATGCGGGATGCACGTGGGATCAGCCAGGCTGATCTCTACCTCCAGCCAGGCTGAGCGTTGGGCATTTCCAGGACTCAGTGCATGCCAACAAGAAGGCTCCAGCATCTTTCTGTCACAGCCACGGCTCCCTGCGCTAAGCACTGAGCTTTCAGCTCAGGTTTTCAGCAGCTTTCGATACCTCTGGGCTTATCTCATGCAGCCTGCTTCCTCTTGCTCTTCTAATAGACTTGTGAGAATTTAGGACAGGTGGAGATTTATTCTCTGCTTGACTCACCACGGAGAGCTCGCCCATTTTTCCCTGTCCTCTCGTTTCTGTAGGTAGCAAGTTGGGCTGTGGTGGGTGTTTCTTCCATTCTGCTTTTGCTTTCGGCCGATCTCCAGCCCATCCAAGTGAATACAAGCGATCTGGTGTCCCAGAAGTTCAAAGCACTGCCTGGATGACCATGAAAGGACACGGAGCTCTGCTGCTGAGGAAAGGGGCAAGCATCCTACGCCCCATTTATAGGCAATGAGGAAGGTGAGCTTACCTGCCTGCACTCGAATCCTGGAGGTGCACAAGAACCCCCCCAAAAGACAGCCTTTCCCTGAGAATTGCCACGCAAAACCAGATAATGGTTCGTTTGTTTTTTCTGAAGTAATCTGATAGGTTTTGATGTCAATGTTTTGCCAACAGCAGTGAGGGCTGTTGGACTATCCCAGCTACGTTTGGGAGGACGAACGCAGGGATGGAGGAGCATCCCTGGCACAAACCCGGATAATGGCTGTAATTAACCCGACAAGCAGCTGCTCTCCCACCAGAGCAGGACACGGAGCTGGAGATGAGCCCTGGGAAATTCTGCTTGTGGCTCAAAATCTGCTTCTCCACACAGGGATTTGCAGACCGAAGGGGAGGGAGACAACGAGGGCAGGGAAAAAAGCAGGAAATCTGTCTGCAAATCTATCTTGCCCTGCAAAGTACAAGGCAGACCTGCTGCCATCGCTGTGCCTGAGCAAGGCAGTGTGTCCCTGTGCAGGTGAGCAGGGTGCTGCCCTCCTGCTGCACAGGAGGCGGGCACGGAGTGGCTGCAATCAGCTGTTCTGCCAGCTGCAGGCAAATTGGGGGCTTGGAGAAACCACGCGT